AAAAAAAAAAAAAAAAAGATTAAAGTCAGATGTGGTCACGCCTGTAATCCCAGCACTCTGGAAAGGCCAAAGTGTGAGGATTGCCTGAGCTCAGGAGTTTAAGACCAGCCTGAGCAAGAATGAGACCCTCCCATCTCTATTAAAATGGAAAAATTTGCTGGGTATTGTGGTGGGCACCTGTAGTCCCAGCTATTCAGGAGAGGATTACTTGAGAGGACCTTACCTTACACAAGAGGATTGCTTGAGCCCAAGAGTATGAGGTTGCTGTGAGCTATGATGCCATGGCACTCTACCCAGGGTAATCTTTTAACTGATATTTAAAACATCCCCAAGAGGAAAGAAAATTAACTAGAGAAGAGTGATAACCCCAAGCCAACATATTATAATGTATTTACAACTATTATCTCAACCTGGATTAGACTGAAGTTAGCTAAGCCTTATCAGATGTCATAAATTAAGGAAGTTCTATTTACACAGATTTTTTTCAGGGTTTAAAGGAGAAAAATCTTTAAGAAAACAGTGTATAAAAGTCATAGACTTGGTTATTCAAATAGGGTATAGTCTTTCTTCTCTCAATGGGATTTTTTTTTTTTTTTTTTGAGACAGAATCTCACTCTGTCACCATGGGTAGAGTGCCATGGTGTCACAGCTCACAGCAACCTCAAACTCTTGGGCTTAAGTGATTCCCTTGCCTCAACCTCCCAGCAGCTGGGATTACAGGTGCCTGCCACAAGACCTGGCTATTTTTTTGTTTAGCTGGCCTGGGCTGAGTTCGAACCCACCAGCCTTGGTGTACATGGCTGGTGCCATAACCACTATGCTATGGGTACCGAGCCTCTCAATGAGATTTAAAAAAAAAAAGAATTCATTGACAACTGAACCCTGTTACTTTTTAGGGGTTAGCTAAGTCCTGGAAATATAAAGATTAGTAAAAGTGGGCTTGCCCTGCAGGAATCTGGAGCTATGAGAGGGATGAGTCCTGAAAGGCGTCTTTCCTCTTTTTCCTGGACTTTCTTATCTTATATAAAAGAGTATTTTCTTTCTACTTAAACCCAGAGCACCTCTGGGCATGTGTGTGTGTGGGGGTGTATACGTGTGTGTTTGCATGCGAGTGTATGTGCATGTGTTTTAAACTTTTGTTCTTGTATACCCTTCACCCATCTTCCCATCTTCTCTGGTGTTAACCTCAAAACCAAGAAATTAACATTGGCGCTACATGGCAGGTGGCGATTCCTTCATCTCCAAGCTGAGATGGTCCCCCAGCCTTTTCTTCTCTTTCAGGACTCAACATGTTTGGAGACCTGGTCAGAAATTTCACAGGACACCTTCAGTTTGGGTTTGGCCCACACTTCCTCCTGAGTTCACTGAATTAGAACACCATGGAGGCCCCCTGCCTTGCTCCATGCCAGCGCCAAGCTGCAGGGCGCTGAGACTGACACTGCTGGCGTCCTTAACCCGGGACACTTGTTCAAGGTGATGCCTGCCAGGCTTTTCCATTGCAATTCATTATTTTCCCCTTTGTAATTAGTAACTGTTTTGAAAGAATCCCTGAGGTATTGACTAAAGAAATTATTCAAAACTTTTTCTTTTTTTTTGAAAATAGTCTAATGAGTCTTATTAGTAGTATGGCATCTTTTAATGGTCAAAATTGTAGTATTATAGGCCTAGAAACGAGATCACGTTGATATGGAGAGCATGGAATGCAAGTCCAGCTCTGTCTCCTAAATGAAGGCTTATTCAAGTCTGCAAACTCACATTTTCCAAGAGAAAGGGACATGAGAGAAATTAAAGGTGTCTGTTGGTAACTGTGGCAAACACACAACATACCAAACGTACTAAGGGTCCCTCAATTCCTCATCACGACCCCATTTGCATCTAGCAGCTCAGTTACTCCCAGACCTACAAATACACTCTGTATGAAAGGCACTTGTTTTTAGGAGATGTTTTAAGAGGGCTGGACTTGTGCATTTTAATCAGAGCCTTCCCTTCCACCTCCTACTGTAGAAATATTTGAAAGGGAAGAACAGGTTTAGAATTCCTGTTTTTCTACTGTTTATAGGGCAAGGTTGGCTGTGCAAAGATAGTGATGTCCAAATACTTTCCCATGGTAGATAATAATTAGGTCATAGAGAAACAATAGAATAACTTCTTACAGAACATAGGTTTATGAATCTTGCTAATGTTTCCAAAATTTGAGGGGGAAAAATGCTGGCCTACAGAAGATAGTAACCGTATTTATCCCCGGGGCAATTCTTACAGTCTTTCACTTTTCCATTTATAGTTCTGTACATTTGAATTTTATTTATTTACTATTTACCATGATCATGTACTACTTTTAAATTGAAAATTAATCAGACAAGAAATTTTTGAAAAGCTATTTTAAGTAAATGCTAAAGCTTTGCCATAAAGTGAAATGAAAGGAAAACCATATTAAATTTAATTTAAATATGTTCTGTTACTGAAATATCCAAGACAATGTTAAAAGGTAACATCTTTTCTTCAACACTAGCTTGAAAAAGGGATTCTAAACTCAGACTGAAGGGACACCAGACCTTGTGGCATGTTGAATATTCACCGTGGATGATATCAGACAGTTCACAGTTTCACAAAGGTTAGGGAGATAGTAGATTTTGCATCATTTAACATTTTTTTTTGAAAATAGTCCAATGGGCTCGGCGCCTGTGGCTCAAGTGGCTAAGGC